TTTGTTGGCTCTAACAAAGAACTTAAAATTCTACAAAGGAGAAGTCTCGAATCGCTGCCGGAAGATCTAGCGAACGTTCTTGCTAACAATGGCACAAACTGGCATTTTATACCACCCGCTTCGCCAAACTTTGGAGGTCTCTGGGAAGCTGGTGTAAAATCTACAAAACACCATTTAAAACGGATCATGGATAACAGAATCTTGACCTACGAGGAATTATCTACACTCTTGGCTCAAATTGAAGGATGTCTCAATTCCAGGCCGCTATGCCCCATTTCAACTGACCCAGCAGATTGTGAAGCCCTAACTCCGTCTCACTTCCTCGTTGGAGAACCAATTTTATCTGTCCCAGACGAAAATCTACTAGACCACAATGTAGATAGACTTTCTCGCTGGAAAGTGGTTCAGTTGCTAAGTCAACAGTTTTGGAATCGCTGGAAGACGGAATATATAAACCGGTTGCAATCCCGTCCAAAATGGCTCAAGCCTCAAAAGAACGTTGAAGTTGGCGATTTGGTCATCATATTTGACGAACGAGTTCCCCCAGGTCAATGGCCACTAGCCCGTATAACAGAAGTCCATCCTGGTACTGATGGAAAAGTCAGAGTTGTTTCCCTAAAGTCCAATGGCAAAATCTACAAACGTCCAGTTTCAAAGGTTGCACTTCTGCCCCAACAAGAAGACTTTAATTCCGCAAAAGATCCTGATAAGAGTTGCTGTGAGCCGAGGCACAGCGTGGTTGGCTCGGAAACCAAATAAAACACCTCATAAATCTGCCCCAATCTATGTCAAGAACAGTTGTTCTTTGTGCGGGGGAATGTTGGAGAATCAACGATTTTATTCTTTATTCTTTAATAATTTATTTTTTATTTATATTTTATTTATTTATAATTTATTATGCATTTAAATTATAAATTTCCCTTTATGCTATATTTACTATTCTAATAGGGCATCCCTATTGTATTCCCTAAAATGTCGCGAACCGACATCTCTACTTTGTTTACTGTCTCTGTTACGTTATTCTTTGTTATTGTTGTTGTTGTCGCTGCATTGTTTATTTACTAAACATAATGCAGCGACGTCGTAACAAAGGTAATAGCGAAAGCAGAGACAGTAAATAAGATCAAGGCAGCCGTGTTATGATTATTTTTAGAAACAAAGTTTTTAGTTCTTTCGTGTTACTCTGCCGTGCTGCGTTATACCGATAAACAAACAAATAACTCTGCCTTGCTGCAATTGTGAAAAATAACTTAACTCGGTTTTGTTAAATTATTTAATTATTCAAGTTAATTTTTATAATATTAATTATTAATAAACATTGTCCCTTCCGGAGCATAATATTCGATAATTATATTAAATTATAATTTATTGTGAAATAAAGTTGCCCCAGTGACAATTTAAATTTTAAAGGAAAACTTGTTGTGTTTTTTTGCGCTGGCTCGAGGAGCCAAATAATCTCATACAGACCTATATTCATAATATTTTTGTGGAGAGATTTGGAACCTATTAAGAACTCAATGAACCAAATTTCAGCGAATCCGGAACCCCAACGCGCTCAAGAACCCCAAAATACCGAAAATTGGGGGTACCGTTATATGTGGTCTACCAGAAGAAGTGGACCTATATTTATAATTTTTTGTAGGGACATTAAATACCCAATAAGAACCCAATGTACCAAATTTCAGAGTATTCGGTTGAAAAACGCGCCCAAGAACCTTAAAATACCGAAAATTGGGGGGTACTGTTATATGGGAGCTATGCCTAATCGTGGACCGATATATCCCATCTTCGAACTTGACCTGCCTGCAGACAAAAGACAACCCTATGCTAAATTTCAGCACCCTATCTCAATTCCTTCAGAAGATAGCGTGATTACAACAGACGGACGGACGGACATGGCTAGATCGTCTTAGAATTTTACCCTGATCAAGAATATATATACTTTATAGGGTCGGAAATGAGTATTTCGATGAGTTACAAACGGAATGACAAAATTAATATACCCTCCATACTATGGTGGAGGGTATAAAAATAACCTAACCTAATGACTTCTCGTCTCTGATGAATGTTAAAAACCATTGACCTATGGTCTCATTACGAAAAGCTTTCCAATATTCCAAAAAAAAAAAAAAAAACACACACAAAAACAAAAACTGTGAGCTTTTCGGTTTTGTTTACATTTTAGCCATGGCCAACAAAAAAGCCGGTAAAACAATGTTTACTACCACTGCCGTTATGGGTTCAAGGTAATATTGCACACCGAACAAAAGAGAGAGAGAGAGAGAGTGAGATAAAAAAAGTCTCACGAACTCTCTCACCAACCACATTCATTCCTCATACGCATGCGTACCTTTGCATTGGAGACTTTTTTCATGCCAGATTCACTCTCATCTGAAAGCTTTCGTTTTCGTTGCACATTTACAGGTGTTGTTATTGTTTTTATTTGTTGTTTCTGATAGTAAACTGAGAAACACTATCTAGGGGGATATTTGAAATATTTTGTTGTGATTTTTTTGGGCTAGCTGCCTGGTTGGCGGTTGATTTTTTGTTATTGCCATTTTTCTCGAATTCATACGGCTTGTCTTCGACAAATGCTGCTGCTGTTGGATAGGCGTGTATGTGTGTTTTTTAGCGTCTGAGTATTTAACTGGAGTATTTGACCATTAGTGAAACAGTTTATTCCTCACAGAGGAGTGAAATAGATTAAAGTGATTTGACAAAGAAACAAAGAAAACTCAAACGCTTAACGAGTGTCCTTGCCAACGTATCAAGGACATTATAAATTTATTGTATTTTAAAACGCGGGCGTTTTAAGTGAAAGATAATTAAAACAAACTAAAAAAAAATACAACTTAGCAAAATTTAAAACCCAAAACCAATTAAATGACCCGGGAGCCATGCGGATCCAGCGGAGTCTAGTGGTATGAAAATTATTAACAAAAACTTAAAAAAAAATAATAAAATTAAGACTTTGTAAAATTAAGTGTCTATGTGTGTGAATAGATGAAATCATCCCCATTTAAAAAAAAACTAATTTCAACAAATTGTAAAATTCAAACGGATATGAAAAACGAACCATGAAATGTTTAGCAGTTCGAATTTTTTAGTGGGATTTTTAAAACAAATTTTAAGCTTCGTTGCCCCAACAAAAAATAAAAAATACTCCAAATCATGCAATAAACATTGTTATAAATGGAAACAAACGCACAATTGTGTTTCCCAAACCATTTGCAAAACATATTTTCCATCGATATTGTTTTTATTTCCTATGTGCCTGTGTGTGTGCTTTTATTTATTTCCACCAAAAAGTTTATTAACACCCATTAACTTATTATTATTTATTAATTTCATTAATAAATTCTAAATTAAAGATTTAATTTATTAGACCGCCATTGCCGGCTTTCATTCAAAACAAAAGACTGAAGACACAAACTTTATTAACGCAACACCAAAGAATGCGAAAATCTGCAAACGTAACAATGATGATGAATTGTTGTTTTGCTATTTTTGTTGTTGTTATTACTTCATATTATTCGTGTATTATTTTTTGAATTAGTGTTGCATGTCTGTTTTCATATCTATGTTATGAGTGAAATGATAGACTGAAGACTCCCCTCCACCAACAAACTTGAAATGAAAAATGAAACATCTGGAAAAACGTTTAGCCAATTCAATCCAATCCAATGTGTGTGTGGATCAAGTTTACCTCTTGTTGTTTTTTCTTTTTTTATTTCATTTGAAATGTTGTCTTGTACAGGAAACAAAGATGAACTACATATTGTTTTGTTTTGTTGTTGCTGTTATGTTGCATTCACATGCAGACATTATGTCCGGTTGACTTCAATAGGTGTATCAGGAAATAATGGCAATGGGTTGTTACTGCTGCTGTTGTATGCAAATTTTTTGTTGTTGATGTTTTATTTCAAAGAAAAAAAACACCTTTTCATGCAAATAATTATATAATATTTTTCCAGAAGATACAGGTCACCGTGTCATGCGGAATCGCATTTTGTCTGAAGAATTATTGATTTCAAACAGGATAAATAAATAAATATTAAAACAAATAATCAGGATAAGACAATGAATCCTTATCACAAACAACACAACTATAATGTGCAAATAGTACAGCGAATAAGAAGTTTTCATCCATAATCTTGTAACATCTGCAACCATTACGAGTCGAATTGGTCTATATGATCTCTTGTCAATTATAAAGAGAAATACTGCAGATTGCAGTTATGGAATGATTCTTAAAACTTCGGTATATAGGGTATAAAACATGTCTATGGAAGAACCATTTTTTCTGAGTAACACAGGCCATTAAATTCTAAGACGATACTAGTGTGTATGCATATTGTCTCCACCATTGTTCAGTTATCGCAAATTTCAGATTAAAGTTTTTGGAAAACGAGGAAGAGGAACTCCAACTATTTTATGTTAATTTTCGACATGATAAAATACTGTCAGTTAGAAAACAAACAAAAACGTCGTTAAGTTCAGACAGGTCGAACTTTTATTTTTATACCCTTCACGGAGTATTATATCTTTGTGCATATGTTTCTAACAAACCTAAGGAAACTAGATAGACACATGGTTCCTCTTGAGAATATGCATAGAATCAATTTCTTTATGCATGTCCGCCCGTCCGTATGTCCATGTTAAATTGTAAAGAAAGTTCAAGTCGCATTTCTGATCCGAATTGGATGAAATTTGGCATAGCTCATCTATTTGGCCTAAGGACACACCCTATTGAAGTTGAGAAAAATCGGGTCAGATTTAGATATAACTCCTATATATATTTTTAATGTAAATGGTGTACAAAAGTCCCTATATATCCTTCGATTTGCACGAAATTCGGCATTAAGTACTGGATTGAGTCTAGAATGATGTGTGTAAAATTTCTTGAAAATCGGTTCAGATTTAAATATATCTTGCACATATATTTTCGTCCGATTTAATGCTAATGGTGCACCAAAGTCCCTATATATCTTTCGATTTGCACGAAATTTGGCATTGCGTTCTAAGTTAAGTCTAGAACGATGTGTGTAAAATTTCTTGAAAATCGATTCAGATTTAGATATAGCTCGCATATATATTTTCGTCCGATTTAATGCAAACGGTGGACCAAAGTCCCTATATATCTTTCGATTTGCACGAAATTTGGTATTGCGTTCTAAATTAAGCCTAGAATGATGTGTGTTAAGTTTCGTGAATATCGGTTAAGATTTAGATATAGCTCCCATATATATTTTTGGGGAATTTAAAGTAAATGGTGAACCAAAGTCCCTATATATCTTTCGATTTGTACGAAATTTTATTATAGCGCACTGAATTAAGTCTAGAATTATGTGTGTTAGGTTCCGTGAATATCGGTTCAGTTTTAGATATAGCTCCCATATATATTTTCGTCCGTTTTGAGAAAAATGGTGGCCCAAAGTCCCAATGAAAATTCGTAAATATCGTTTCAGATTTAGATATGGCTCCCATATATATTTTCATCCGATTTAAGGGAACCCCCCCCCCCCATTCACGATTTTTTATTTTTAAGATTTTAAATGGGCTGGTAAAAGAATACCAATGCTTGTTAAGGTTTGTAACTTTGCACATATATATTTGAAGATTTAAAAAGGAAGAAAAATAATTTACAAAAAATGTATGTTGTTGTTTTGTTGTTGTTTTTTGTGATCAAAGAAAAGTCCTTATTTTTGATGGCGGGCATGATAACTCCTCACTGGAAC